GATAAGAAGAAAAAAAAATAGAAGAGGTCTCTCCCTTTTTGGCTGGCCAAAGGGTGGAAACATGAAGAAAATTCAAGAAGTTTCAAGGGGAGTTAGTTAGTCAACATATGTAGGATTCTTTGTCTTTTAGCCTTTAACTCTTTTCCAATCCTTTCTTTCCCTGCATGTACCAATTTTTCCAACAACCATCACATGGATGACCGGCCATGTGAAAGAAGAATGAGAGAAAGAAAAGTTAAGCTTCCTTTGTAAGCTTTGACCAAGCTAAATAGTGAAATCACCATTAAGCCCTCCTAAGGTCTCATTCTTTTTAGTGAGTCCTTCCATCACTTTTAAAATTCTAATTTTTCTTCTACTTCCTTCCTTGACATATGTATAAATATAATATGAAGCTCGCACCTCATTCGCGTGTCAGCATAATATTTAAATATATACTTACCTGATGGTGCTCTATTTCGTCAAAGCACACGGGTTCCTTCTAACCTCATTATTTTCTTCCAAATTTTCCTCTTTTCTTCTCCTCCCCCACTTGGATTAGTCATATAACTCTCTATTGTAACTAATTCCACTGATAAATAAAATATTAATATTTTATTCATAAATATTCTTTTTACTTGTTACTGTTCTCTAATGCTTAGATTTATGTCAAATGACCCTTCTTCTCATTAATAGAGTCTTATTAATTTCTAAACGAGAGTACGGGGTGTTACACTCTAAGTTTACCCTTTCTGTCTTTTCCTAGAATCGACATGTTGTGCTCTTGGTGTTGATTCTTCATGAGTGTTTGGTGCCAATCTAAAATTTAAACTTGAAATTTTATGCTCTATTCTTATCCATTTGTCAACTCTTGCTTCTTCTCCAAGTTTTTGGCTTTTTCTCTTTGAAGCTTGCAAAATCGACATGTCAACTCCTTGTTTGAGAATTGATTTTTACTATAATAGAAAAAGTCATTTTCATTTCTGTACAGTTGAGAATCAATTCTTTATTTTCTAAAGGTCGATTCTTGCAATTGGAAATTTAGAGTTTGAAGATGTAGAAATATCTTTCAACTCAAAACCAACTTCAAAACTCTTTGGAGATTTTCTTCACATTTGATAACTTTTCTCAACTCTTTCAAGTAAATAAATTTCATCATTTCAAAAGCAAAATATAGATAACAGATCCAAAGAATTTTGGATTTCAAAAATCAAAAGAGAATATCTCTTATATGTATGCTAGAACAAGGATGAAGAAGCTCTTACAAAAGGAATTCTTCTTGACACACAAAGGACTATTTGTGATTTCAATACCAAAAATTATTTATTTGTTTAATTGAAAATTTTTGATTGCTTGAATTGCATTAACTAAACTTAGTCTCTCATTTTTAAAAAAAAAATTGATTGCTTATTTTTACTTGAATATCACAATGCATAATTATTTGTTAACTGTCTCTTAGATAACTTTTTGTCTACTTGAATTGGTATCTTTAAGGCATAACAAGCTGACATCAGAAAAATGTTTTCCACCAATGAGTTTATGTTGATTAATGGATTAAACAAGTTTGTTTCATGATGAAAGTCTTTATTAACTTGTTCTTGTTGAATGTGCATGGTCATTTGCAAATTTAAATGGTCATAAAGACTTTTTTAGTTCATGATTATGAGATATATAAAAATGATCATCGGTATGGATAAATATATTTCATTACATTAATCATATACTTCAGAAATCATTTAGAAAATAACTGAACAAAATTGAGTGATGTGAAACTTGTGAAAAACCCTTTCTAACAAATTGTCATGATCAAATAATTAGTCTAAGAGTCCCCTCCAACGTGAGGTGACACGCTACATTCAAAAAAAAAATAATTAGTCTAAGAACAACTTTGAAGTATGTTTTATGATTGAGAAAAATTGTTTGTTTCAAGATTGATTACTTGATTATGTACGTGAGTTCGATTAAGATGAACTCATTGAACTTCATGAAAATTATTTTTGGTTCATATATTATTTTGGTTAAGTCACATGCTCACATGATGTTTAATCTTGCTCGACATTATTAATCAAAATCAAAACTTGACTTGAGCAAAGCGTTTGTATGTGAATTTAATTTTCAAGTTTGATCATGATATATATTGTGTCTACAAAGTTGAAATATTTTTGGATTATGCATTTGAATATAAACTAGGTCTTCCATGGGCTTAAGTGATTATATGATATGAAGACCTTATGTGCATCCAACTTTAGCTTATAGGTAACCATGAATAACTTGAAGTTTAAAATGACAAATGGCCTATAGCTTGAGTTAGCAATGAATGCATAATAAGCCTTGATTGAATGCTTATTTCTTGAATCTTAACAATTGGTATTCATTGATTCTTGGATGTTCATTTTTAAATACATTCATGAGTTAAGAGGCATATTTCCAACATTTCATGACAATCGGTATTACTTATGACTCTTGGATCAACAAAGAAATAGCATGCACCTTGAACTTTAACGATGCAGATTTTGGTATATGACTATATATTTTGTTTTAAAGTGAAATCATACTTGCGTTGAATTAGTCATAATATTCTTCTAAATGATTGCAACAAGTGCAAAATGCCTTGAAAATACTAAATTAATAATGATATAGCTTGGCAATGAATACTTAATGGTGCTTGATAACCATAAATACCTTGGACTTGCCTGGGAACTACTTTAGACATATATCTTGAGAATATGAGTATTTGATGCATATATTGAACATCTATTTAGATACTCATGCTGTTTCAGTTCCATGAATATTTGAGTATTAGACTTACATGTCGAACATGAAATTAAATAGTCATTTATCACGTGCTCCCCAAATGCCTAACAATTCTTTGATCTCTTGATCCATCTAAGGGAAGGTAAGATTGCACTATAATGCAATTAACTACTTTATTCATTCTCCTTGATTGTATCATATCTACCTTGTTGGTATTGAGCTAATGAATGTTTAAGGGGAGTTGATCATTGACCTTGTCTTATGACTCATGAGTACTTGAAATCCTCAGTAATGAGCTTGATGCAAACTGAACAAATGGTGTTCTTCATTATTGGTAATATCCTTCAAACACCATATTAACCTTGCACTTATCAATGCCTCATACTTGTGCTTAAATGATGAAACATACCATGAGTATGCTTCTTATCATTTGTTTTATAATGTGTTTGATGCATTGTATATTTGATTGATTGATTTATATGTTTATAATGGGTTTGAAAAATCAATGGTTTTATTCATTGATAATGCTTTTATTGCATTTCTTGACTATTTGATTAATTATTCATATGAATACATTAGTGTATATGTGTTATTATATTGTACGTTTGTTGCATTATATTTGTTCATATCATACATGACTTGCACATCATTCATGCGTATCATTCTCATATTCTAGCATATCATGTATGTGTACCTATGAATACTTTATATTTATGTTCTCATGAACTTAATGAATGTAATGCCCACAATTTTTGCTCACAAATATATATCTATGTGTGGCAATTTTGGTTGAAAGTATATATATATATTGCTTATTGATTGTGTTGAATGGATATATTTCCTTATACCTTCATTGAAAATAAATTGAATGGAAATATATCTTGACTTGGTAATGCTTTGGATTGATGGTTAGACATTCCTGGATGTTACTACTCATATATTTTTTATGATTTTCACTAACTATTGTCTCTTGAGTCATAGTGCATAAAGCTCACATTGAAATGCTCTTGTACTATTCGAAGATGAAACTTTTATTTTGAAAACATCATGCATATGTTAAAGGGGGAAGTACAGATTTCATATCATTTTGTTACCCAACTCACTTGAACATAAATGTTTTCAAAACAAGGGCTTAGAGACTAATAGAATTAGGGGGAGCTTTGAAGAGATTTCAAAGGAAAATATGCTACTGATTTTGTCATATCAAAAAAGGGGGGATTGTTAGCATTGAGTTATGTTATATTTTGATTAGACAAAATTGCATGACATCTTAGTTTTAATGACAAGCATTTGAAATTGTCTAGATTATATTTCTCACCTTTTTAAAATCCTTCAAGTGTTTGAAACGCCATGGACGATTACAAAATATCACAAACTTTTTCAAAACAATGAGCCATCAGCTTCGGAAAATGTAGAACAAGCATGCCTTGATTAATACTTGATCATTGGGAAGAAGCAACGATGTAACACCTCGTACCCTCGTATAGAAATGAATATAATTTTATCGACAAGACGAAGGGTCAATTGACATAAATTTAAGTGCCAAAGAGTGGTGATGAGTGAAAGTAATAGTTTGAAATAAAATATTTTACACCCGAGAAAATAGTAATTAAATAATAATATTTTTATCAAATATGAATTAACGAGTTAAAAGGTGATTCAGAAGTGAACCGGGAAAAAGAGGAGACAAGTGAAAATTTTTGAAATAAAATAATATTTTATTAATAAAATAATATTAAAATATTAATATTTTAACTCTCGTCAAAATTAGTCATGAAGGAGGATTATATGACTAATCTAAGTGGGGGAGAAGAAGTAGAAAAGAATTTTGAAGAAAAACGACATGAGCATGGCCCGCGTGCCTTTATTTAATAAAGTAAGAGCAAGTATATATTTAAATATTATGGTGACATTTCGGTGAAGTGAAAAATGTTTATTTTAATTGTACACGTGTAAAGGAAGGAAGATGGAAGGAAATTGGAGTTTAAAGACTATTGGAAGGACCAAATTGTAAAAGATGAAAGTTTTAGGGTCACATGGTATATAAAGAAAAGTTTGAGGACTTATGTGCAATTACAATATTTGAAGTTAAATGGAAATTAATTAACCAAAGGAAGTTAGATTAGGTGGCATGATGAAATGTACATGTGGAATTTAGTATTACATGCAAATTATTGCATGCAAAAATAAGGAATTTGGTGGAAAACATGTGGGACCCCACCATGTGATAGTTGACTAAAAGGAAAAGAATAAAAAGTATTTAAGTAGAAGAAAACCATGGTTTAGCAAAGATAGCCTATGGTAAATAAAGTA